GAGCAAGCAGGGTTTCGAAGAGGATTCAGCACGATCGATCACATCGTAACGAAGCTCATCGAAGTATCGCGAGAGTACAAGATGCCGCTATGTCTCACGTTCATCGACTTGAAGAAAGCCTTCGACTCCGACAGGGCGACACCATCTCGCCCAAGCTCTTCAGCGCCTCTCTCGAGACGTCATGCGTCAACTGGAATGGGAAGACATGGGAGTGAAGAGACTGATGCCATTTGGACGCGCTCATTTTTGGCTGCGATTTATGAAGTGCCTACATCACCAAGGCTGCGCAAGTGGAAAAATCGGTCTACGGCTGAATCTAACGAAGACAATGTTCATGAGGAACGGATTGGTTTCTGACCCGCTCGTCAAAGTAGGCCTTTGACTCCCTGAAGGCAGAAGCGGCTTATCGAAATCCTGGACAACCAGGGTATCACAGCGACGCTATAAAAATTCGTGCAGGGATTACGCAGTCACACTTGCAATTACCTTCCGACGCTCCTATCAGTTCTGGTCAGTGTTACCACTTCCTCTCACAAACCACGACTTGATCGCTACAAGCGCCTTTTACATTGGTAAAGACGATGGTCAAAGTCTTTTCGACCAGCAGTAGCCGCAAAAAGCACTAAAACTTCACCAAGGATCTGAACCCACGACTTGTAGCCTGTGAGTCGCGGTGCAAAAGCCTTACAACCACGTTTAGGCAATGTGCTGCAACTTTGGGAAAAAGGTTCGAGATCAGCGTCCAAGGATGCATTCACGGTATACATCGCTCCTGGAATTGCCCCTTCCGCCTAACAATAAGATCCTTCCCTGTTCAGGTTCCTGTACCACAATTAGTCCCGGCTTCTGCAGCGAAGTCGCGCTCCGTGGATAACCTGCGCTCGGGGGCGAAGTTTTACAACTTTTCCCAGTTGTTGTTTTCCAACGTTCACTTTTTCCTTTCACCAGTACTTTATGCACTCTTTACTTTATGCATATTAATGGTTCACCTAGATTTGTTAGTGCATTCATAATTTAGCGTTGGGAAATCAGCTATGTTGTTCTCGAGTGTGCTCGCATCAAGCGGTTAGTTTATTCCTACTTTTTTCTCTTTTCTTGTCAATATTGTGATGCCAGGGAGAATGGACGGGACACGTAGTGTCAAATTTGAACCACACACTGGTGATCCGGAAAGGGATTTGGCATACGAAAGGGAACGAAGGCGTATAGGTTAGTTTCGTTACGCTATATGCAGTCATTGTAAGTTTTTTCATGGTTTTTTCATTGCAAATTCACCATTGGACTTGTTTTAGTGGATGAGGATGGTGTACCGACAGAAGTTGCTGATTATTTGGATTACTTTGCTCAGATGATTGAAAAGAAAGACGTCCCAGAAATCCACAATCTCTATGAGCAACATTTCCCTGACTTGACAGAGAGGTATTTTATCTTTTGGATGATATGTTTGAAGTCTGAGCTTGAGAAAGGGTGTCTTTTGAGTAACTAAGGCAAAGAGCGATGAGTGCAAACAACTTTTTGTCGAAAGAAGAGCGCCTTCGTACTTTGCGGCAGCGTTTTTATCATTGTGAGCATCCGTCATCGTTTCAGCAGTAATCGACTACTTTTCTAGTCGCTCAAAACGCTGACGCTCAAAGCATTAGATCGATACCTATACTTCCGCTCAAGACGCTGTCGCAAAGTATGAACGCACTCTAGCTAGAGGGGTGGGATTGAGAGCGGGCTATTGCAATGAGCCTCTCGAAAGTCTTCGTAGTCAGTAGGAGCAACACAAGAGTTTCTCATAACATATTTAAAGATTCTACCGCGAAAGAATGTGGCCAGATGAGCAAACAGTTGAGAGCATTGTTGGCAGTGGTGAGTGTCATACGTTTTTCCTTAGATTGTGATTATTGCTATTCAGCTTTTTGTAATTTTGTTATCTTTTTTTGAACGTTTTTTCATGGTGAACGTAGTAATGATGACAAGGAATTAGTCTTTGTCTATACACTTTATTTTGTGCACTGAAATACTTTCTCTTGTTACGGATGGGCAGAAGGGCCTTTCTGAGTGAGAGATAGTTCATTGTCTGCATGGGTTCTTCACATTGCGCGCTTTTATAACATCGACAATTTCCCTACTCTCCGTGTAGGTGTATATTTAAGTCTTCACGGATTTTCTGGTTTTCTTATCCTTTGAAGTTGCCAGCTATGCTTATCTTGCTGAATGGCTTATCTTGCTGAATGTTGGTAAGGATACACTTGCGATGAAATAGCTGTGTCGCATGTTTTGGAAACGGTGCTAGTGTTTATGCGTCGCAAAAAGGACTCCCAATCAAATTTTGAGGCGTAGTTCGCATTTCATAGTTGGGCTGCACAGGAGAGTGGGAGATTAGAGTGCAGCAGAAATTGTTAGATACGATCGAGTGAATTGGCGACTGTTCTATTCTTTTCTATTTTTCTAATTCTTCCTACAGACTTTTCTTTGCTTTTTTTTTCGCCGTTTCATTCTGGATTCCATTGCTTAAAACTCATCACCGGCCAAATTTTCACGCATCATGACTGGTTGCCTCACCACGGAGCTGCATATCCTTGAGTAAGTTCATCCCGTGGATCGCCACACATTCTTCCGTACCTTACGAAATTCTGAGAGTCGAAACACCTGTATGCCCTCAGGGCTTCAGCAGCAACTCTATGCAAAAAAATTCAAGCAGTTACCATGCGCTCTCTGAGGCTGACCACGGAAGTCCGCCAACTCACCATGGAACTTTGAATGAAGACCTGGGTAGATTGATAGAGTCTATAAGGTTATTTACAAATATAGATAGCAAAACTGCAACCTGCATTTCACAAGCAACTTATGAGCAGGTAAAGTTGTAATGGTGCAGTAGGGTGGAGGCTTGGTGGTGAGCTGTGAAGCATAAGCGAGGAATCGCATACGTCGAACTGAGTCGTCGAACGTCGAACCTTACCACTGAACCACCACGACTCGATTCGACGTATGCGATTCCTCGCTTATGCTTCACAGCTCACCACCAAGCCTCCACCCTACTGCACCATTACAAACTTTACCTGCTCATAAGTTGCTTGTGAAATGCAGGTTGCAGTTTTGCTATATATACCATTTTCACTTTAAATTCGCCCTTTTTCAAACCAAATTCGTCCTTTTTCAAACCAAATTCACCCTCACTCTTCATCAAGAACCACACTTATTAGGGCGGGCAACTCATCAACCAGATCACGCCAGACACTGCGAGCCCCGCCCCGACGGCCACGCCCACTTGTCAGCGCGGACATAGATTCTCAAATCTTGTTTCATAACTTCTGCTTTTGCTGTTTCCCACAAACACTTTGACTGGAAACCACCGTGCATTCACACATGGCCGACTCCGCCCATTCTCTAAAGGGTTTGGCACTCTAGGCTGACCACGCCCACTGGCTTTTCGCGGAATTTCGATGTTTTTTCAAAATTTTTGCAATTTAGGGTTGCTGCGTGAAGCCCCGCCCACTGTGAGATGCTCCGCCCACTTTGAGATAACCCCGCCCACTTTTCAAAAATGGTGCAGATCGGCAGTATAGAGACTTGGCTTGCATGTTAGGGTCTCGTACGTCACTCGGAACAAGAAAATCCGGCAAAGTTTATTCCGAATGATCAGCAATACCCTAACATGCAAGCCAAGTCTCTATACTGCCGATCTGCACCATTTTTGAAAAGTGGGCGGGGCTTATTCAAAGTGGGCGGAGCATCTCACAAAGGGCGGGGCTTCACGCAGCAACCCTAAAATGCAAAAATTTTGAAAAAACATCGAAATTCCGCGAAAAGCCAGTGGGCGTGGTCAGCCTAGAGTGCCAAACCCTTTAGAGAATGGGCGGAGTCGGCCATGTGTGAATGCACGGTGGTTTCCAGTCAAAGTGTTTGTGGGAAACAGCAAAAGCAGAAGTTATGAAACAAGATTTGAGAATCTATGTCCGCGCTGACAAGTGGGCGTGGCCGTCGGGCGGGGCTCGCAGTGATGTCTGGCGTGATCTGGTTGATGAGTTGCCCGCCCTAATAAGTGTGGTTCTTGATGAAGAGTGAGGGTGAATTTGGTTTGAAAAAGGACGAATTTGGTTTGAAAAAGGGCGAATTTAAAGTGAAAATGGTATATTTGCAGAATAATCTTGTAGACTCCATCAATCTTCCCAAGTCTTCATTCGAAAGTTCCATGGTGAGTTGGCGGTTGGCGGACTTCCCTGTGAGCAGTAGACGGATAATATTAGGTCGTTCAGTATGAAATGTCCGTTTTTGAGAGTCAACTTCAGTTTATCATATCTCATACAACGCAAATTACAATCAATCAAAATATGATCCTAAGTTATCAACACATCTTTGCCATTTTAAAGGTAACTTATTAATTCCATCTCTATAGAAATCTGGGGAGCGAGAGGCAATAAAATCATGAAAGGCACTTTCTACATCATCATAAGAATTGAATAATTTTCCCTGCAAGAAGTGATCTAAAGCTTGAAAGAAATGGTAATCTGTAGGTGCTAGGTCGGGAGAGTAAGGAGGATGAACGAGAGTTTCCAAGTCCAAATCCTGTAATTTTAACAAGGTCGAGTTTGCCACATGTGGCCGAGCGTTGTCCTGCAGTAGGAGCGGTCGGTCTCTGTTAATCATTCTCGGCTGCATAACAGCAAGCTTCTCCATCATTTCCTCCAGCTGTTGACAGTACGCCTCCGCCGTGATCGCCTGACCAGGTCTCGTAAAGCTGTAGTGAATCACTCCTGCGGAGGACCACCAAACTGATACCATAGTCTTCCTCTGGTGAGGGTCCGGCTTCGGCGTAGGTTTTGGCGGTTCCGACTTGTCCAACCACTGGTAAGACCGCTTCCTGTTATCGAAATGGATCCACTTCTCGTCACATGTGACGAGACGGTGTAAGAAAGGCTCGCTTTTTTGCCTAGAAAGTAAGGAAAGGCAAGCCTCAAGGCGGACCCTCTTCTGACGATCGCTCAAGTCGTGCGGTACCCAACGGTCCAGCTTCCTACTCTTGCCAATTTGCTTCAAATGAGACGAGATCGTCACCTTACATACTCCAAACTTTGCCGCTAATTCTCGAGTACTTTGAGTGGGATCAGCTTCCACTACGGCTTTAAGCTCATCGTTGTTCAGCTTGCACTCGGGCCGTCCTCTCGACTCATTTTGAAGATCGAAGTCGCCGGATTCAAACTTTGCAAACCATCGACGTACTGTTCGTTCGTTAGGGGCATCCTCTCCAAAGACGACGGTGATATTCCGAACTGCCTGTGCTGCGGTGCTTCCACGGCGGAACTCGTACTCCAAGACAACACGCAATTTGGACTTGTCCATGTCGTTACAAAAACCTTTCTAAAAAAGTCAGATTCCACGGCAGCCGGAGGTCCACCGAAGGTAAGAAAGAGGGAGGCTGCACCTTTACCAAAACTCAGTACCAAGGACTGCCGGAGCGTTTTGCCTTAGATACGGACTCTCGAACTATGCACTTCTGAAAAACGGACATTTCATACTGAACGACCTGATATTTGGGGGAGGTACTATACGCTGCAGTGCCGAAAAGGTCCGATAATCAACTGAACGATCTGCCTTAGGTCGCGTTCTTACATAACTAGCTTAAAAAATGACGAAACTGCAGATAGAAGAAAGTGTACAGTGGTTTGAAAAACCGCAGGATCAGGACATGCCAAAATTCCACAGAATCAGCATTTTGGCATCCCAATGGCGGATCTAAGCGAGCAATTCCTATCAAGTCGTTGTTCATCATTTCGGCATTTCTCCGAATTCCGCGGATTTTCAAATCGATTCGCGTGCTTTCTGTCCACAATTTCCTCCTTTTTTTCGAATCTGTCATGTATGAATGTAGCCTTACACGGTACTTTTGTTTGTCGATGCCTCTTTTTGGTTAGGTTTAAGTAGATTTGTTATTCTCTGTTTTTTTTTCTTTATTAGCTCCATGAAGCCATAAGTGTCAGGTTTCGATTGATATGAATTGTCAGCGACCGTTTCCATTCTATTCCCAATTTTTCAGAGAATAGGCTTTTCATCATCTTATACAAGGAGCTTTACTATCGTCAAGTGTATGCGCGAAATCAGCGTGGGCCATCACTAGCGCACCGTTTTGAGTCGTTTATGAACTACCAGGTTATATTTGATTCGTTAATGTTTCAGTTTTCTGCCTTTTTTGAAGTTTCATGGTTTCATTTACAGGATCTTTTCTCAGAAATCCTGTCCAGCAAAGATCCTGTATCGCTGAGCCTCCCGAATGTATGGTTGTGGGATATTATTGATGAATTTGTATATCAGGTAATTTTTCAACATTTCAGAGAAATCAAATTTTCAACGTCCTGAGCCAGTGTTGTATTTTTACTTACTCTTTTTTTATTTCTCGCGAAATTTAGTTTACGTTAAGAAAAAGTCACTTTTCTGTCTTTCCCTACAAACTGTACGGTTGTGCTTTCAGTTCCAAGCTTTCTGTCTTTACAAAGCGAATCCTGGAAAACGAAGCGTGGATGAAGTTGATGAACTTATCAGTATTGAGGAAGCGCAAAATGTGATTATTTTTCTCTTTTCGCCATGTCTTTTAAAGTTGTTGGGTGAAATTTCTTTTTTTTTCTGTCAATTAACAATTGTAGGCTTGGAATATCTACCCTGTTCTGAACATTTTATACTCCCTTCTATCAAAGTCGCAAATTAATGAGCAATTAGCAGCTATCAGAGCTCGAAGTTAGTGTAATGTTGCTTTAAAAAGTCATTTGCAATGACCAATTCCTTTGCGATTATGTATCCTTCAGGGAATCCTGATGACGTCGCTGATGAGTTTGGACAGTCGCCTTTGTATTTCAAACTTGGATATTTCTCTCTAATTGGGTTATTGAGAACTCATGTTCTCCTTGGAGACTATCATCAAGCTCTGAAGACGGTTGAGAATGTTGAGTTCGATGCCAAGGTATCTTTTTTTCCACGGTTTTTTTATGTTGGCGGGTATATTTCGATAAGGTTTGAAGAATGAGCTGTCTTATTGCTCAACTAGGCTAGAATGAGCGATGCAAACTAGCTATCATCACATCTTCAATTCGAGCATGTCCTAAACTTCTCATATCCATGCAATGAGTTAGGTTGGAGAACACCTAGTATTCAGAAAGACTAAAGAACAGCATCGTGATATGTGAAATGGCGGTGAAATTCTTTTCCCTCCTCCCTCGAGATTTTCTCCTCTTTTTCGACCCCTCCACCACCTCTCCATCCTTCCCGCCAGTTTCTGAAGTTTTTGCGACTTCCTACTTATTTTTCCCAACTTCGGAAAAGGGAGCTCGCCACCTACCAGCTTCTAATTTCCTCTATCAGAAGTAGCAGCTATATAGAGCTCAGCGACTCCGGCAAGTGCGAGGGGGAAAGAACATGAAACAGGAAAAGTCAGCCAGCGGAACAACTTATTGCGGCTTGGAATTTATCAAGACTGGATTCGACTTCTATCCCCCCCCCTCTAGTGCTGTCTTCCCAACGCTCTTAAGTTTACATAGGTCGACCATAACGTCTAACGAAAACCGCATAGTTATCCATTTCCTTAGACAGCGTGAGTAGGGTCGAGGGCTACCTGTTCGATTAAAGTCGCCAGATTTGCATGGTGAGGAACAGACAGAAGTTCGCACTTTATTCTGACATCGAGGTCGAAGTCTTCAGCATTTAATTGTTGTGTTACTACCAGAGGACGACTTGCTCGCTTACAAAAGCTTAGTCCTTATACGAAAGGTATGGGTCGATTGTTCGTCGAGAAATATGGAAAAATTTACTTTTCAGTAGTAGTCCATCTTTATTGAGAAAATTTCGGTGCAGCATGTGGAGCTGGGTTGCAAAGAAGGGTTTAAGAGTATTGGCTGGTAGAGTGTTCTTGTTCCATCTTTTTGATCGATTTGATCTTGTCGGGATCGATGTTAGACTATTTACCTTTCTTGCTTTCGAGCTTACCGGATAAAACTCCTTATTGTTGACCTCTGCTGAAAGGCGCGGCTTGGTGGAATGGCCTTCCGAAGACTACCATCTGAAACCTCTGGCCGTCAATTGTACTCCCTCCAGCAACCTCACTGATATAGAATTCGTTTTCGTTCTTCCACAGTGGCTCATGAAAACAACCAGGGATGCTTTTTGCGCAGCCGTTTGTCTATAGAAAATGTCATCGTCGTTATGTTTTAAAACCAGTTAGTTCACCGATATTTTCTCTTCTCAAGATTTACCAATTCAGGGATTGTACAACACGGTTCCATCATGCCTTGTGACTTTGCACTATTTTGTTGGTTTCTCACATATGATGATGCGAAACTATGGCGAAGCAACGAAAATGTTTGTAAATTGTTTGATGTTTATTCAAAGAACGAAAGCGATCCAAACTCAGCAGCAGAAGCAGAAGAACTTCCAGTATGATGTGGTGAGTTTGTACCTCAGTAGCAAAGAGCTTTGTAGTTTACCAATAGGTCTATATAGTTTATAGTGCGTGTAAGTTTCTCTCTCTATGCGTTCTCTTCATCGACTGACCACCCGACCCTTAAAAAATAAAAACAAATACAAAATTAAGTTTTTCGTTAATGCTTTCGGTTCTGCGGAGGGGATCGGCCTTGTGAATGAATGTGGTTCGAATGATGTCTATTATATTCAAAAGCTTTTAGATTGGAAAAACCTACGATCAGCTTTTCCATTTGCTCGCCATTTGCTT